TATATCCCACTCTTGGGCAAAGGCCTCCTCTGTATCTCTGTACTAGCGGGTACTGTGTACTAGGGCATAGTCCACGACGCGAACCCACTGCGGATTGGCGAACTTGAAATATCTTCGAAATAATTATTTTTTGTTAGGCAAAAATAAGATAGATCGCAGGGACGTTGGATGCAGGCCACTAACGACCGATCGAAGTGGAAGTCAATGGGGGAGGCCTATGTTCAGCAGTGGACGTCCTACGGCTGATATGATGATGATGATGATGATGAGGCAAAAATATGCAGGATTCCTTACTATATTTTTCTTCATCGTTGAGCACGTGATAAGTCATCACTTAAAATTAACAATTTCATTGGTGCCGGCACCGGAATTAAACGGACATTGTGAAAGCTACGTCCCTTTTCTTCGGTATACAATTTAAATTACATTTACATGTGTTTTAAGTAAACTGTGTTACGATTCAAAACTTAGTCGACTGTTAAAAAGCATGAATGGAACAGTAATTTTAAAGTACAATTTTCATCAATCATCGAGATCAATATCAAAACATCATTTATATTAATCACAAACACTTAATTTATACATGGCGTTTTAAAGCAAATTGAATCAATAATTTTAATAAAGTAAACGCTTTTTTGCGATTTTAATTGCAACTCCATTTTGCTCATCCCGATTACTCAACAACATAACGATCATGTGTACTCCTCTGCTTTTTAAATGAGCCATTTCCATTTTATATTCCACACATCTCTATTTTATCGTTAACGGCTCTGTATACGAGGCTGCGAAGTTTTCATATACAGAATGCTTTATACGCACTATCATACGTACTCGTATGCAAAGGCTTAGGGAAATCATTTGCAAGTAAAGATTCTGATTAATCTAATTTATTTAAGATTTGAGAACTTAAAAAAACTTGAACTAGAAAATTTTTTGAACTTGAATTGAAATAAGACTGATATAACTTTTTAAAGAAGTACCAATGTCCTAATATATCAGTAATGCAGTAAGATTACCATCTAAAAACAGGGTAGATACATTAAGAACGATACATTTATTTAAAACTTGCAATTAATAAGCCCTTGTTCATTGTAGTGGATATCAAACTAATGACCTTATATCGCGAGTTGATAACCCAATCCAACACAAGAATTTGTGCTCTATGAAATATTGGTCAAGCTGCCTGGTTATGAATATTAGACGGTACAAGGTTACAAGCTCATGTAAATATGTTACAGCAATTACCGAACGACATGGATGTATATAGTTTTAGTATTATATTATTTTAGATCTAATCACTAATTATATATTAAAATAACACGTGCGTTCCTATTAACAATTTTTTTATAAAGACAATACTGAAAAGATTGTTGTAGCTATTAACTCTATCACAATAGCAATTGTAAAAGACATTCATCCATGCACATGTATATGTGTATGGATGTGTATGTACAATATACAAAGTACAAAGTTAAATAAAGTAACGTAAAATGCTATATAAAGTTGAAGATGATAAAAGCATGTTAAAAAGAGTCAATTTCGCGCAAGAATTCATGAAAGAGAAAATTTATAACGAAAATTTACACCAATTTTGTAATATAAAAACTCTCTGAGAGAAAACGACATGTCAGTGAAAGACGAAGCACAGCTATTCGATTAATGTATTCAGACTGTGTGTCAGAAAACATTCGCCGCAATAATGGAGCGATTAATACTAACTAACCGTAAATGAGTACACTACAATACATATAATTAAGTATTTTGTGAAATTTGGACATCGATTAGGTAGTCAGGTAGTAATTAAAGATCGCTAATTGTAAATCTATCGATACTAAGTCAAAATTGCTTACAGAATAATTATTATCATGTTATAAAAATGTCTACTGAAAGTTAACGATAATTCTTATATTTTAATTGTTATCACCATTTTATCATTATATTTGTTTAAATAACCGCAATTACAAAAAAAGAAAGGTATAGATAGTGCTTCAAGTACTAAGCATTTTAAGCACCCCAACAATTCTCGCATACACATTAATATTTAAATAGATATTCACCTGTTTGACTTTTACTTTTACACAAAGAGGGCAAGTAATTTATAGGGCAAGGCGTACCAAAGTAGAATTATTTCTAAATAATCTACCTTGTTAGAATTTAAGCTTGTTAACAAAATAGAGGAACTTAAAAAAATTAAGTAGCAGTCATTACTGCCTATGAACTACCATTAGGAATGCCACAGGGCGAGCCATGCGGTTTCCCACAGAAACATCTGAACTCGAATTCTTAGCACTCACGTTATTTGGCGTTTTTGATTACATTGTTGACAAAAATTATACTTGAAGAAAATTGTTGAGATGATACCGACTCAAGTTCAAATTATGATGAGTGATGTTTACGACAATGGTTAAGAGAAAGTACTGCTTGCGAGAACCAATATTCATTTTTATAATACTCGTAAATTTGCTCGTCATTGCTGTTGTCAAACAAAGAGAAACTGAAAGTCAGTTATAATTGATTCGATTAATGCAGTTTGGAAATTGATTGTTATATGCAACAGAATAACAATTGTATTATACAATATATTACTAAATTCTTTTACGTAACTCAAATTATTACATAGTTTATAATGGACCGTACATGATATTTGCATTTGCATTGCACTAATAGCATAATTATGTAACATGAAATATGTTAAACATATAATTATGATATCATACAGTACTCAAATTGTTGAGATTCAACATGGTGTATTTTGTAAGACAACAATATGGTGTATTTTTAAAACAATCTAACAAACACAAGTGTTCTGTACAATTATCTATAAAAAATCGTGTTTCTTGTATGGGAGCCCCGCTTAAATATTTGTTTATTTTGTTTTTTAATCGATGTTTATTTGTTGTTATAGCGGCAACAGTATTACATCAAATTTCAACTATCTAACTATCACGGTTCATGAGATACAGCCAGGTCACAGACAGACAGCGAAGTCTTAGTAATAGGGTCGAGCTTTAACCTTTGGATACGGAACCCTAACAACATGTGGGCTTATTATGATAATGAAGATATGCCTTTAATTATACAATTCCAATATATTATTAATAAACGCCTACGAATTGTCCTAAAATAGGTTGGTCAATAATTTAATCCTGTATTTTTTAATGTTCACTGTTTCTGTACCCAAGATTATCTTACATTTTTATTGTTTTTGTCACCATTCATGGATAATAAACATGATTGGCGTCTGATGGCGTTAATAGTCTTATAGCAGTTATTCTTACTACTGACAACTTTATTACCCATATTTATTAAAATAGACTATAAAGTTGGATTTATGAAAAAAAAAAAATTGCCATTTTAAAGATAAGGTTACTTTTCCTTATTTGTTCTTTGGTCGAAGGACCTATTTATTATCTCCTGAAGCTTATTGTTAGGCGAACACGAAGTCACTTGTAAAGAAAAGATCCCTCTTTCATCGTGATACTGTAAACATAACAGTTTATAACTTCAAATGTTATCTAAAATGGAAAATTTACTCTCATTGAGCAAAATTCTATAGTTAATATATATATATATATATATATATTGTTCTTAAAGTCGTCATCTATCTAGGTTCCACTGAAAATCAGCAATCGCAATGCTGAGTTGTGACCTTTTGGTACATTGATTTCTAAATTTTAATTATTTTTATTTTGTTTTTATTTTATGTTTTGTTTGTTATGTATCAAATAAATATTTCTTTTTTTCCTTTTTTCTTTCTAATAAAATAAATCTTTTAATGTACAGAATTATGTGATCGACCCTAGCGTATGTCCGTCAATGACAGGTTTTTACACCTTGAATGGTAACACTGTTTACATTTCACATATCAAAAGGCTTAGCCCCAGAAGCGGGTGACATCACGAATAAGATTAGGAAATTTATGGGAATAATCTTTGACCCATTTCTATATAAGCCTTGATCTCATTTTTAAACTATACCATCTTTATTTATATTCCTATTTTTTTGGCTATAATATTTAATTTGAAGTATCAACTTTTTCTTATCAAAACTATTAAGTCTATATTGGACATCGATTCGTATTGTACGTGCTATTAAAAAGTCAAATTCAACTTAGCCTTATTCCGAGCACTTGACCGTCAAAGTCCTCCATCAGATTGTGATAAATAAAATATTACTAAGGAATTATTAAGCAATTTGTTATTGTTTTCGATTTATGATTGTAGTGTTATCATTTACATTTGAATTGCGAGTCGAACACACATTCGTAATAGCTCATGATAGTCTCATCTGACATCGATTAAATCTAGTAAAGCATAGGATTTTATTAAGTAATCATAACATAACATAACATCTATAAAACACCTGACTTCTAATTTAACCCTAATACATAGAAAGGCTGTAAAATAATAATGTAAGTTAATCACGTTGTAACTCTGCTGGCTTAAAAAGAGACTTTTAGAACATATCGTTGGAACTTTATTTATATTATGTGATTATTTTTGTTTTTTAATAAACATTCAAGGCTTGTTTATAATCGGTGTTCATCCATTAATGCGTCAATATTATGATTTTCGCGTTTTGTCTTCTCCATTCTGGACTGAGTGATTTGTCTTTAATAATCTCTTACATCTTACATTACGTCTGTAATCTTGTTGAAACATCCCGTTAATCTTGATAAGTGTGTGAAATTGGGGCTCATCTCAAGGCCGGCATCGATAAGCAGCTTCACATTTTAAAAACAACGGACAACCGTGAATTCTCTTTGTTCTCAATTTTTTCCGTTCCATCGAAACCCACTTATTTTTCACTCGACTTCATAATTTATTCATACTTGGACGTGTTGTTTTCGCTATAACCGTTTCAGACCAGGCTCAAAAGACCACTTGCAAATCGCATTAACGTTACGATTCGTCGTCGTTTGTCGAAACATCTAATTTGCTATGTTATTAAATAAAAACAGCTATTTGGCCACTGTAGCCGAGGATTGTTTCAAACAATCATCCGTAATATTGGCAATCTGTAACATAATTATGTCATTATGGATGGACACGTAGCTCGGCCGTTACAAAAATATCAACAATGGAGACACTTTAAATCCGTCCATATTTCAGCCTGGCGAGCGGAAAACAAGGAGTATTAATAATTAGTTGCGGCGCGTTGTTCGAGTGTGGTAGGGGCGGTGAGGTGGGGGATGAACTATGCTTAGGGGTGTCGTGTTTACCTGGGGTTGGAATATGGCCGGGGATGTCGCGGAGGCGGCGGGCGGCTCGAGCCGCGACGCGTGCACCCGCGCGGGCCTTCCGAGTACAACTGCGGCTGCGAGCCGCCTTACGCCTCGCCCGGCCTGCGCTTATCGCCGCGCCACCACTATGCACTCTACCTCGCGATAACGATTTAAACCCTTCAAATTGACCTTTAATTAAGCCCATAAAACGATTACCCTACCCGCTCGTATGCACGTTATCTACTAATACCCGCGTACATAAGCTTATAATAAGCGTTCGTTAACCGAGTTTACAACTAAGTTACCCCGTAGTGGTTTAGTTTGAGAGCGCGCAGCGTCTTTGTGTCATGTTTCTAGCTGGTATGAGCTCGGTACAAGGCTGGTTAACGAAACATATCTGAAGGCATTAAGACTTATAAGTCTACATTTCGCTCTTAATCAATGTTGGAATCATGTTTCTAGTTCGTTAGAGTAATTTTCGTTGCAAATTATTCTCATGTTAAGTTTGTTGAACATGTTATAAGCGGAAAATATAAATGTATTCATCATAAAAACAAATTTACGCTGCGCCACCAAATTTAATTCTAAAAGATAATATTACTGGAAGCCAGTTTTTTTATTCAACCATGTAAAATTAGTTATTCACTGTGAACAAAAAATAGAGCACGTTTGATAAAACGCCACGAAAAGGTAATAAAACAGCAGGACTCCTGCCGTTTCCTTTAACATAAATTCATGTCAGTTAAACATTTACGTATAGGCATAGGATTTTTATCAGGACTAAGCGAGAAAATTCATTATTAGTAATTATTAGCAATAATGAAAAGCAATAAGCATAAAATACATAAAAGAAAGCTTTCATGGCGAAGACAAATACGACTACAAAACTCCTTTGTCTTCTTTTGTATCCGTTGTTCAATTCGCTTTTGTGATTTAAAATATTGAATGCGAATACACTACATATATTTTTTAAAATAGGTACATTAATAACAAGATATCAAAGACTATAAAATGTTTACAAAATATTTTTATTTCATATTTTTATTATACACCATAAAACTGGATGTTCAGCAACGACAACCATTAACAGGGGTCAAGCAGGGGGAGGGGGGTGTGGTAAGGTATTTTTGTCAAAAAATTATCAATAAAAAGTTAACTAAGTGAACTATAACTAACTGAAATTGCACATAATATGGATCGGTTCTAGGATAGAATTTAAATTATTAGATTATTTTAAACGCTTGCGACTGGATTCGACAGTAGACTGTAGGAGGCTGGTCGTAGGTATTCTTCTTTACAGTGAACAAAAAATTCAAGATAATTTTAAACTAGTTAATGTTTCGCACGTAACGATAGAATACTTATTTTCCATGTTATAAATATTTACATAAAAGTGTATAGAGATTTATTTGGAAAAGGTATTAAAAGTAAATGAAACATTGTCACAACTGTTTTAAATATGTATAACAACTCTATTCCTATACTTATGAAACAATTCATAGTGGTTGAGGGCGTAAGTTGTGGCTGAAATAACGCCTATTCAATTTGTTTGAAATTCGGAAAGCATAATGGCTGTCTAACCCGAGTGCGACGTGCGAAGTTCCATCCCGTTCCATTGAAACTTGAAATATTAAAGCTCGATTGAGCAAACAAAGCAGTTTTGAACGACAGCGTTTACCTTTTTGTATTGAGCCATGAAAGGATTTTTTAATTAACGATGCCTAATTTTGACAAGAGTAAAACGCAAATTTTTCCGTGGTTTGCCAAATTCGTTAAGACAAATAAACAAAAAGGGCTTCTTTAAACTGCAAGTTACCCTATATAAAATTTATTTTATTTTTTTAATTGTTTGTAATTCACTCGTTAAGAGGGATGTGGATTATTGAATAGTAATAACTTTAGTAATCAGAGTCAAAAGAAATTTATTTTTTAGGTTTCCGTACCCAAAGGGTAAACGGAATCCTATTACTAAGACTCCGCAGTCTGTCTGTCTGTCTGTCCATCTGTCACCAGGCCGTATCTCATGAACCGTGATACGAAGACAGTTGAAGTTTTCACAGCTGATGTATTTCTGTTGCCGCTATAACAACAAATGAAAAACAGAATAAAAATATTTAAATGGGGCTCCCACACAACAGACATGATTTTTTTTGCCGTTTTTATAGTCCGACTCGCACTTGGCCGGTTTTGTAACTTTGTTATTTTTATTTTCTTGCTCTATAGGGGGATCTATAGGGCTCTATAGGGATCACTTATAGTAGTTTTGTCGAAAAGATTTTTACTGGGACTACGTATGCCATTGAATATTGTCTCATAGATGCACTCCACTAAAATGAAAGCAGTCGATACGATATTGCTAGGTAGCAATCAAATAACCACCAATACAGTGGGGAAGGGTAAAAGGCATACGTTACTGTGCTGTTGTATATAGGTACGTAAGTAATAAATAAGCAATTTATCTTTCCTTTATATTCATATATCTGTAAGACGGCAGTATACCTTTAGACAATTAACATGAGAACTAAGTAAAGCTACTTTTCATTAAAAGAATCTTCAAGAAAATCGGTTTTAAATAATAATAATTCTATAATTTTTGCACATCTTTTATCCGTAGATGCTCCTGAGATTTGCGAGTGCAGCGCATGAGATATGACGCACATATTGAACCTTTATGTATTGTTCAACAGTAAAATAGTCATTTTCTATTTTAGTTAATCACTATCTTGGTTACTATCCTTAAGGTAGACATATAATTAGGTTTGCATGGAGATAGATAAACCCAATGGCGTGTATATAATTTTGATATACATTTTTGGAACTTTATAGAGAAAAGATTTTAGTATTTAAACGTGCCCCCATGTGGAGCATCACCACCTTACCACTGTACGTGAATGAGTATCTTTTTTGGAAATAGATATTTATTTTTGCGTAAGACACACGATACTTTCATCTACGAGTTATAAATGTATGAGTTAAAATGACTATTTTCTTAAAACGATAGCCAGCCTAACTGTCTGATTTGCCGGTCTTCTAAAATTATTATCTTGTCTAACCTGGCTACAGATCCCCAAGGTGTTAATATGAATAATAAATTATAATAATTTGACTGTTATTACGTCAGCTAACTGACTTACCTGCGCGTAGTAAAGATGTAAAGCTAAAATTTTCCAAAAATTTTTCAGTACAAGCATATTTGTAATAAAGAAACACCAACAAACATCGGTTTATTTTCATAATTAAAGTGGGAAAATGTAGAAAACTTAAAACTCATATAATCAAAAATGTATTAACTGATGCCTTTTCCGCGGATTCCTATAGTTGTAGCGTTGTTTTTGGTGTAAAGAAAAATATTTACAATTTATAGGAAAAAAAAAATGTTTCAAAAAACGTTCATTACAATTATTTATACTAAATATACTAAATATATAAATATACTAAATATAATATATAATGCCAATTGTTATAAAATATAGGTGTTTCACCATTGTGCATTGTTTCCTGATGGATCGAGTTATACATTACTAACACACTCCATGCGACGTTATATTACATTGGTTGAGGAAAGCAAACTCAAGGAACATGTTTGTTTTAACGGGAGTTTTAACTCTCTACATACAAATATTACGAAACCGTGAAATAATTTTCAATGTTATGTGAAGTCTGCCAACCCGCATTGGGTTTGCTTGGTGGACTACACCTCTGTATAGACGAGGCTTTTGCCCAGCATTAGCACATACACACTATAGTTTACTTTAGTAAATACTTATAAAACAGTTTCCATGGATTCTCCGTTACTAAATTATGTGTAAAAAAAAAAATCTGTCATTTTAAAAACAATAGATACGTATAGACACACTAAAACTGGAAGGATAACATTATAAACCCGTCTCTACTTAGTATGGTTGATTTCTAACACTTTCTAGCGTTTTTTATGCTAAAGTATAATATAGGCAATAACATGTATTAAAATATTGAATATAGATAGATATAAATGAAAAATATAAAATAATCTACAGAATTGCAAATAACAGAATTATCCTGAAGCAAATACCTAATAATGAACTCGTAACATGTATGAAATATCTTATGCTCAACGCGAAGAATGCAACAGCGCGTGTAATTTTCACCCCTCAACAGACCGAAGACTCTTAAGCACGATCGAGCTAACAAGATATTTAAAAGGTAAAAATAATTGTGTAAAACTTATTTACAGTGCTTGGAGAGGGTTTATAAATGCAGCTCGGGCTAAGCTTGTTAAGCAAACGATTTCTATAATGGTAATAAGCTTGTGCAGTAAAGACTTATTTGAAATTTACTGTTCTTTACTTACACTCCTCGCTCTTTGCTTGAGCGGCGGGGGCTTTAGGAATATATCTTTTGTAAAAAATAAATTGCATTCTTTAAAGAGACTCAACCTTTGCCTTGTTGTTTGGTTTATATTAAACTTGTATTAGACGGATTCTTAAGAGTAAATTCAATCGAGAACTACAGCTACATTGAATATTATCACTAGTACAGTGTCCGTTGATGTACTATTGATTTTAGGTGTTCAGATTTTATCAAATCTTTAAAAGATTTAAGTATCTGTGTTTTCTATTCATACAATGTTTTATGGGCACAGAATTGTCGAGGGTTGTTGGAGAGCCCTTTTATGGGTACAGTCGTATTTCCACAATGAAAACCATTAGTTGTCTACTCTGTTAATTTTTAAGTTATAAATTGAAATTTTAAGTGCTGACTTATCACATCATCAGCGGTTCATCAAATTTGGAAATAATAATTAAAAAAATATGTGAAGAGAGCGTGGACCATGACAAGCGTGGTGGATTATGTATCCCTTTGCCTTTGGCGCTTAACTTTATTTTGTTTCAATAATTTATCACAGCACATCACGATGAATAGAAGCGAATGCTTATCTATTCAAAATATGCATATAACAGTTATAAATAGTGTACCCAACGTTTAAAAATATAACAAAGTATCGTTTGTAATCGCCCAAGAGCACAATACCGATACTTAGCGCTATTTGAAAATTAAATAGACATTCCTGTTCCACTTACCATTAATGGTCTGTTATACGTCTAAAACATTTTACAAAATAAACCAACAAAACTTACTTAATTTATCATCTCAATTTTTTTTACTCACTTTTGGGTAAAATTGAGATGAAACCATATCTTAGCTGAAGATTAAAAAAGGAGACAT